TGTCCCTCCTTCGCATAGTGCCTGCTCCTATGCAACCCAATTTATGCCATGTGAGATTTCTTGTGGGCTGTATGTTCAGTAATGGTGCCACGATTAGCAATCTACGGTGCCGCGATGAAACCAAGAGCCTCCTGTGGGTGCACACATAAGGCTGTGCTGCTCGGCACGTGCTGGTATCGAGGTTTCTAGTCATGATCCATTACAGAACTACACCGATATGTTATTCTCACGTGAGCTCTTCCTTGGTTATCTCTCCTTATCATGGTAGAAGATCTGTATGTTGAATCAGATGCAATAGGACTTCCTTCTGGAGTCATCCAATGGTTAACCTTTGAAGAACAGGTCACTAACAGGAACATAAACAGACTGCAAGAGGTGGTAGACAAGTGACTCTACTTGACGGTCCCTGTAGTGATGTGTATTTGCTTAATCACGCAATCTTGGTTGTGATGTTGATTTACCGAGGTCTTTCGAGACACTCGGCGGACTACCAGGTTTATATAAGTGAAAGTATGCGCGTATCAACATGTTAGCGGGGACAGCCGTACTTGATCTTGTATAAATTGGGCGGTTCTGTCACATAGAGTGGCGCGACTGTGCACCCAGACGGGACACGAAGCGGTGGGATTGGGAGTCCCACATGCCGGCGCAAGACGATGGGCGTGCGCGCCTAACCGGCGTGGTCTGCGCAGTCGCAGTGCCTTAAATGGAAAAGCGATAGCGGCGTGCACGGCCACATGCAGACGGCACCCCACCGGGCCAGGGGAAGGCAACGCGAAGGCATCACGCGTATAGGAGTGACACGACAGCAGCGGCAGCGTCGCGCCGTGAGGCAACAAAGGCGGATGTGATGGTAGCGGCAGCAGCCGCGCTGCGACGCGAGATAGCAGGATGGGACATGCGCGCGTTAGAGCGATATGGTGACCAGGGCACCGCCCTACGTGGTAGTAGCAGAGCAGCAGCGCGACGGCGGAATGGGACGCCCGCGTGCTAGGGTGGCAAGGCGGCCAGGCTGACCCACCCACGGTGGCCGACCGAGCGCGGCAAAGCGCATGCGTGGGACGCCCGAGGCGACGACGCTACATCCCAGAGACACGGTGACCGTGCTCACGCGAGGAAACTTGCCGAGAACGTGTTGTGCACAATTTTTGAAGCGGTCGAAAAATCTAAAACGTTGATCCAATCGTCAAACCACCTTTGCTATACTTAAGAGGGCATATTAGGCTACTAAAACAAGCCATAATACAACACCACTCCATAACCCAATTTCTCAGCAAAAATTACCAAACCTAGCTTTGTCGATCTAGTTTTCAGACTTAAGAAAGCGACTAAGTCTTGGGTTGGATTTGCTTCAAATTCAATTTCTAAGCTATTAGAAATGTTAGCTAGTGATATCATTTTTTGACCGCAGGTATTTCATCGTCATCTATAAAGTTTGTACTTCAAACTTTATTCAAGTATCACATACATGTTCTATATCATTTTTACTTAATAAAAATTGGTTTTAAACCCTAAGTGATATAACATGACTATGGAATTAACTTTCGTTATGCATTTCCGATGATCGTTTTGAGTCATGGAACTGGATCTACACTCTATATTACATGCATTAACACATAAAGATGATGCTCATGACATGTTTTAGCAAATGATTTACAGTGTAACACCGAGGGTGTTACAGAAGTCCTCATTACCACCTTACAAATAGCTAGCTAGATGAGGCTTAAAAATAATAAAAAGAGCATTATAGTGGATGGCTGTGGGAGCTATGAGAGAGTAACTTTTGGAAGATCGTGCTAGACTGGCTATTCTGGAGGTGCTAACTATTTGATCTCTCTCTTTAAAAGTCAATAGAGTTCTTTCTTGGCTAGCTATCTGGGAACCAGTGGAGACGCCCTAAGGTAGGAGTATATGTGTAAACAAGAGAAATGGAATGCCAATTTACCTCGCCGTGAGCACCAAATCAGAGCTCTAATGTCATCCGCGTCGCCTGGGGAGGTGGTCGCTCGCGCGACCTTCCTTGCTACACCCGTGAGAGTCGCACCCACGTAGGTGCCCGGGAGACGGTGCTAAAGCGACGGTAGGCTAGCACCGGGTCAGGCGCGATGGTGGGCCATGCCGGTAGCGGCCCTGGGGTGGACACGATGGCGGGCGAAGGCAGTACGGGAGGCGACAAAGGGCAGGGCGTGTGTGGCGCAAGGGAGAGGGAAAGAAGAGGCGCCAGAGGCATAGGGAGGCACGAGGGAGGGAGGGCGGCGGAGGAGAAAATGCAGGGCTGTGCCATGGCCTCTTTCAGTGGCAGCGTGGGTGTTGGGGTAGATGATGCAGGAACTCCCTGGAAAGTTCATTGCAGCTTGGCGTTGTGCTAGGCGTTGATTACGAATCGCACGGATAGGAAAAAGGATGTGACGTGGCCTCGCGAGATAACAAAAAATGGTATACATCAATAAGGGTAATGTTAGATAGGTTTAACCACGTTTACTAACTCCAACACTTAGAGCAAGTCCAATGATAGAGTCAATTGTTTGGCTATAGGTCAAGTCATAAGAAACAAGCTATACAATATATGTCTCTTATTTGTCGATAAAAATGTTTTTCATTGTTACTTTTACCCAAGTCCAATCCCATATTCTCTTTCCTAATTCTCCTCACATTCACTCGATGTCTGGGCCCACAACCGCATAGGCTCCTATGCCCAGCTTGTTGGTTGCACGAGTCAAGCTCTCTTCTCTCTTCCACATCAGCATTTGCTTCGTTATAAGACCATTATTGTACTTGCACTTACAAAGAATCACCTAAGAACATGTATCATCATCTCCACCACCATGGAAGAAATATGAACTCCTACCCCCATGTAGACCCCACTCTATCCGGTTGTTCTCTACTTCTCTTCTTACCCCATTCCTTAATTAAGAAACCATGCCCCTTCTTGTTGATTCATAATTAATCAATTATTTTCACCCTCGCCCTTGACTTTATGTAACCTCTTTGATCGACACGAACAAGGTGGTGTTGTGCGGTGCCAAATATCAGGTGAAAACCCTTATTGCAATTCGTCGTCGCGTTAGGCGACAATAGTGCATGAGTCGATTCCCTCCTCAAAGGAGTGGTCTCGGCACCATATATTCTGTTAGGAGTCATGGAGTGTCAAGGGTGACCATTGATTTGGTTTCTTCTGGATTAGACAATGGCCCATGTTTAGTGTCCGCTAGTCAAGGAACATGCATAGAGGTTGATATGTTGTCTCAAGTCATTGATACTTGAGTACACACTTGTTCGTCTTGTCAATAATATAGGTGACGAGGGTGGAGATTGAATGTTGGGATTGTTGTGGAAGTTGTGGGGGCAAAAGTGTCATCTATGGTGGAGAGGGAGCAATATATATGTAGGTGGTGAGTGGATGGAAGAGCTAGGAACCAATGACATGAAACCAGATGTAAACAATGTGGTGCATAACAATGCATTGTTATGGAACTTTCTTGTACATGCTCTTGCATCGATTCTTACTAAAATTGAGCATGACAATGAAAGAACTCAATAAAAACTAGAAGAAAATTAGATCATATTATAAAATGATGGAACGATAAAACAAATAATGACATATGCATGCCTGGTATATTTCTTATATATTGAAAATAGTAATTGCACGTAGTGGAGGTGATATGGATGACTTGCATTAATAGGTTGAAAGTTACTGGGCCGGCGTGGCATTAGTGAGAGATGTAGATAGGTAGTAAAAAATGATGTGGATGAGTTGTACGTTGAGATATGACTTGTAGTGGGGTTTGAAAAATATAAGATACGAATATACCCTATGCGTTGCTGCGAAGATTGCGAAAAATTTAAAATAAAATTAAGTGAAGATGACGTGGATAACTTGTATTAAAAAGTTGGGAGTTAGTGGCATGACATTGGAAGATGATATGGATAGTTAGCATGAGATGATGGAAATGTCTTACACGAGATATACAAACACGAGGAACATGCACTGAAGGGAGAACTGGTGTGGTTCTTTGAAAAGATCACTTTTTTAACCCGTCCATACCACGACTTGGCAAATCTATAGAAAGACCAATGACGGATGGGGTGGGCTGTGGACCCCTGTTCGCTGGTTTAATTTCTGAGCTGATAAATTTAATTAATGTTGATTTATCTTGAGAAAAAAACATTATTGATTGACTAATAAGTTGTGGTTAAAATAAACGAACGAACAGACGAGTAGGCTTAGCAGTCTTGAATGCTGGAGATCGTGTCAAGTAGGACGAGGGACATGCATGCCCGTTGATTACCGATTGATCTCTCGAGTAGTGAATGAATGGCCGGAATGTTGACGCACAGTGAGGCTAGCTAGTAGCTAGCTCTAGCAGCGTAGTCCAACCCGCAATGCCAGCGTGCCAAACAGACCCGTCGTAGACCGTAGTAGGCGTAGCCTAGCCCTGCCTGGCCTGGTGCCGCCGGTACGTGGGAGTGGGACTGTGGGAGGGGGCGACCACGCCTTCTTTAACTCCAACTGCAAAAACACATTTACTGAAGGCACGTGATTTTTGGTCATGGACTGCCGACCCGTACGGACGCATCACCATAATGTTTGGAGTTTGTGTGGTCCGGCTGCGGCGTGGCTTGGCTAGTGCGATCACTAGTCTCCGCACTATTTCTCAAGATTGCCATCTAACCCGGGCGTAGCAAATGGGCCGTAGTTTCATTATCCCCTCAGGATCCATGGGCCACTATGAGAAAGCCCATTGGGACTCCGTCATCCTGGCCCAGGACCGCGTGTGATTCCAAGACGAGGCTGGACTAGGCCCATCCAGACGGCGAAGAATATCCCAGAAGACACGTGGCGCAGCGCCTCGCCCTCCCTTGAGCTGGCGTGTGGCGTCTCTTCTTCACTTGTTGCGGGTCGGGCCCGAGTCGCCTCCCTTGAGCGAAATCGGCCGCTCTTCCCATTTTTCCCCAAGTCCCAGCTGAAATCCGCCGCCAGGCAAGCGAGCGAAAATCGAATGGCTCCTCTCTTCGCCGCGGCGTCCCGCGCGTCCCTCCTCCCCCTCGCCCCCCTCGACCGCCCCGCCGCCGGCCGCCTAGCCCGTGGCACCCTCAGGCCCCACACCTCGAGCCTCCGCCTGCGCCGCCCCCCAGGGGCAACCGGGCGCGGCCGCGGGCGTGGCCGAGGGGGCGTCCCCGACGAGTGGGGCGAGCGTTCGCCGCCGGGGCCCCCCGAGCCCCCCGCGCAGCCCGATCCGCCCATCGACGCCGACGAGTGGGGCGGCGACGACGACTCACGCCCTGTCGTCGCCGACGAATGGGGCGAGCCCGGGGCGCCCGAGCCCGAGCCGCCCTCCGCCGCGGACCCGCCTAGCCCCGCCGCAGACGACGAGTGGGAGGAGGAGCCGGAGCCGCCGGCGCCGGCGGAGGCGGAGGAGGACGAGCAGGCGGTGAAGAGGGAGGAGCTCAAGCGCTGCCTGGTGGACACGGTGTACGGCTCCGACCTCGGCTTCCGGGCGTCCACGGAGGTCAGAGGGGAGGTCGTCGAGCTAGTCACCCAGCTCGAGGCGGCTAACCCCACTACGGCGCCCGTCGAGACACCGGATCTCCTCGACGGCAACTGGATCCTCATGTGAGTTCTTGCTATTCCCAAACATGTGATGTGACCTTTTTGTCTGTTCCTAGTGAGTTGGTCGATCGATCGATTATTCAGGGCTGGTGAGCTGTGTTGCTACTTGCTACTTGCCACTTGCTACTGCTGATAAGTGATAATCATCCGTGTGGCCATACCATTCAAATCATTGAGAGGTGGGCTGAAATATGTAATGATTGGGTACGGTACGATCCATATGCTCCCAACGCATCTGCATTCCTCCGTACTCAGAACTGAAACAGCTTCTTTAGCCATGCAACTTGTGCAACCTCTGGCAATCAAAGAGAAAGAGGTGTGGCTATAGGCTCCATAACAGAAAATGACGGCTTCTATAGGATGCAAGAAACCTTTACTCATGGGTCCACGAGATTTTGTTTAGGGCTTACCTATTTGTTGGTTTGGTTGAGACTTGAGAGGCTTGTAACCCATCAGATGTACCATTGCTGTCATGTAATCTTAAATGAAGTAGGTCTAATATCCTCTCGTTCAAGGATATGTTTAAGTATTTAACAATGAAATAACAGATAGATGATTGTGCTTACATGCGCGCACACAGCATGCTCTGCTTCTCATCATCGAGTTTGCTGGTGCTTTATTTCCGTACCTTCTTGATACAATTATCTAAGGACAAATGGTTGCATGTTTTCTTGATACAATTATCTCAAGGACAAATGGTTGCCTTATCATGTTTGGTCATGACTTGCAGATATACGGCATATTCCGAGCTTCTGCCTATTCTAGCTGCTGGGGCAACACCTTTGGTCAAAGTAAAGCAGATATCCCAAGAAATTGACTCCAAAAGCATGACAATAGTCAATGCTTCGACCCTTACGACTCCATTCGTTTCATTTTCATTCAGCGCAACCGCCTCTTTTGAGGTTCAAAGTCCATCAAGAATAGAGGTATGAATTGATCGGCATGCTAGCCTGTTTGGATACATTATTCATTTTCTGTGATAACCCAAAGACAACAGTTGATTGCTTGTTTGAAAACTAGGACTGCCATACTGTGTTACTAAGTTATTTCAGTCATTTACTCACTTAGCTAACTTGTGTCTTTGTACTGGTTGGAAATGTGGAGTTCGTTTCTACAATTTTGTTTTGCTCACTGCCGAATTTGATGCATCACACTTCTCAAATGACACTTCAGTGTGCAGACACCAGATGCTAACATTTCTCGTGATAAATTTTCAGCTATTTAAGTTGTCGTGTGATAATGTGTAGATGATCAAACTTACATGTTGGCGATTAACTGAATGCAGGTCCAATTTAAGGAGGGGAGCTTTCAGCCTCCGGTAATATCACCATCTGTGGATCTACCTCAACAAGTTGATATATTTGGGCAGAAGATCAGCCTGGGGCCAGTACAGCAGGCGCTGAATCCATTGCAGCAAGCATTTGCTAGTATTGCAGGGTCCATTTCTGGGCAGCCACCCCTCAAGGTACCGATTCCTGGCAACAACAGAGCTCGATCCTGGCTCTTGACTACCTACCTGGACAAAGACTTCAGGATCTCGAGAGGCGATGGAGGCTTGTTTATTCTTGTGAAAGAGGGGAGCCCTTCGCTAGATCAATTGTAAATCTGTAACTGGTAGCTACGGGAAAGGATATCCAGAACTCCACAGGAACGGAAATAGAAGACACCACACATTGTGTTTATTAATCACTCTTGTTGGGGGCGACATTGTGCCATGAAATCTTAGAAATGCACATTGAGTCGATAAGAATCTAGAGCTGAACTGAGACATGCAAACAAAGCACTTCAATGTTCGTCTGATGTCTGTCCTTTTATTGGCACGCTTGCCTGACCATGCCCGTAACTCCGCAACATGGCATGGGCCACATTACGAAACGTGGTCACTCTGCCTTTGACAGCTTGTACTCACTCAGGAGTCCGAAACACTCAAGATTGACAGTTTTACTCACTCAGGAGTCAGAAACACTCAAGATCGTGGAAATGAAGGGTGCAAGGGAGAGTTTGTGCTGCTAACAATGCAGCGTTTTCAGTTTTTGCTGCATCAAAGACAGCCAATGTGGCTCCTAAATTGCAGATTCTTTTGAATCAAAGACTTAGTTAGAGTGGCTCCTAAACTTGGGCAACTGACTCCACTTCCGCATTAATCCTCATATCCTTAAGAATCTACAAGCATTTATCTATATTTGGAGTGGAATAAACATAAATCATTAGTAACTATGACCTCGTGTGATTGTGTGGTGTGCAGCAAGGTTGGAGGTAAACAAGTAGTGAAAAGGTGTGAGAAATAGAAAAAATGAATTCTCGTGAGATGTCTGGGTTGGGGAGGGTCATGTTCTTTTCTGAGCTGAAGTGATAAAGAGGAATCTATTTTTCTGCCGTCGTCTAGTGCAAGCCTGTGATCACCCTTTGTATCCCAGTGCCTTTTTATTTTGTCTTTGTCTAGTGCACCAAGGAATTGTGAAGCTTGGTCAAGTTCGCTTCCTTGAAATGGTCGATCAAATGCTGACGTGCTGTCGTACTTCAGCAAGCTGCTGGGTGCTTCAATTCCAAAACGAAACCTTCGTTGGTTTGGGGGTTTTGGAAATCACCACCACTAGGATAATAGGGGCATGATTACCAAATCCAGGACGTGGACGTTCCCAGAACGAGAAATGTGGCCATGTTCCGCGTTTCCGGCTGCTAAGCTGCAGGCGGTCCTACGTTCGGTGGACGAGTCAATCAATTTCAAGCCATTTGACTTTGGCAAACTTTGTGAGGACATCCTGCACGAGTTTAGCAACACCAACAGCAATACTCTGGGCTCTCTGCTCGGATCTGTGGCTGGCGGGTCAGGTTCGGTGGCAGCAGGCCTGCGCCCGGGCGGTGAGCGCCCGCGGCCGGCTGGCGTTCGCGCGGGTGCGGGCGGCCTGGACAGCGGCCGGTGCCCGCGGCGGCCTAGTAGAGCGCACTGGTGGCCAGTGCCAGCGGTGTCCGGCATGGAAAGGTGACGGCTGGCGCCCCCAACCTGCCAGCTGCGTGTGGAAGGTAACTGGCGGCCAGCGCCCTCCCGCCCCTCCCACGCATGCGATGATGGCGGACAGGGCCCGTGGCTGCAGGTGGCTGGTGGATGGATCGGTGGCCTTCAGCTAGCAAGCTGGGCAGGTGGAATTGCCCCACGGCTTCACCAGCTCCCGGCGACGGCAGTGGCGGAGAAGCTAGGCATAGGGCGCAAGAGTGGGGCGACGCTTGCCAGTGCGCGCCTCCCATCGTCACGGGCGAGTCCGAACAGCTCCGTGAGGTGTGGCAGCCATTGGCACTGCCGGTGCGTGCCTCCCATTGTCGCGGGCGAGTCCGAACAGCTCCGTGAGGTGTGGCGGCAACCGGCACTGCCAGTGCGCGCCTCCCATCGTTGCGGGCGAGTCTGAACGGCTCCGCGAGGTGTGGCGGCGACCGACATTGCCGGTGCGCGCCTCCCACCATCACGGGTGAGTCCGACAGCGGCTCCGCGCGGTGTGGCAGCGACCGGCACCCCCTCCGTCTAGGCACGGACGATTGTCGGTGCGCGCCTCCCATCGTTGTGGGCGAGTCCAAATGGCTCCGCGAGGTGTGGTGTGAAAGCATCTAGGCCCCTAGTTGGGTTTTAGTGATTAATGACTACACAAGATTATTGTAACTAACGTTTGTTTTGCAAAGACAATCAAAGTTAGGTCATGGCAATGGTGATTGATTGGGCAATTATGGTTTTCATGCTCCTGTTGATGAAAATCATTTTGGTTTTCAAAGGATGGACGACAAGGCTAAGGACGGACTAGCTCTAAGTGTCGTTTGGCGTTGAGAGACACTTAGATTAGTTTTAGGACTTTATTTTTCCTTTGGCCGTACTGTAAAGGGGAGGCATGGATGGATAGCTTGACCTAGGTGAGTCTAGTGAGAAGAATGTGGTGCACAATTGTTACATCTAGTGCTAGGTAGCTTAGATGAAGCCCAAGATCATTGGGAGCTGGAAAACGTTTTGACATGGCGTTTGGAACGGAGGGCAACACAACTAGAGGCGCCGGACATGGCGGTGTACAACGCCCCTAGGGTGGTGGTGCCACCTCCCTAGGGGGCGGGGCAGTGCCACCGCCCTATTTTTCTAGAGGCTGCCCATCTCAGTTTGTGCCAAGGGTGGCACCGGACAGGGCACCACCCTAGGGGTGGCGGTGCCACCGCCCCTTTTTATCCAGAGAGAGAGGGGGGGGGGGAATCTGGTGTTGGTCACCGCCCCTGGGGTGGTAGTGCCAGCCCAGTAACGGCTAGTTGTAAACTAGCCATTGGGGTGGCACCGGACAGGAGGTGGCGGTGTGCCACCTTGGTGTCTGGTGACCCCAAAAATGCTAAGTTGGAGGGTAACGACTAGTTCCATCCCTTAGGGCTATTTATACCCCTCTATCTCGTGCATTTAGGCTCTCTTGCCCATTTGTTCAGCTGAGGAAATGATTTGGAGTGCAGGGGAGAGCAAGAGCCTAGAGGGGTGATTGAGATTTGCTAATCCAAGATTAAGAACCTCATTAGTGCATAAAGAGTAGCAAGTGTGCATTCACTCTTCTCATTAGGCTTGGTTGGGTCAAGTGAGAGTTCGTGCTTGTTACTCTTGGTGATCGCCATCGCCTAGATGGCTCGATGATGATTGGAAGTTTGATGATCATCCAGCAGAGCTTGTGGATGACTCAAGTCATGGTGTGAGCAGTTGTGGGTGATTCACTGTGTCGGAGTGACAAAGAATCAGCCCGTAGAGAGCACTTGATCCTTGCGTGGATCAAGGGGGAGCTACACCCTTGCACGGGTGCTCCAACGAGGACTAGTGGAGAGTGGCGACTCTCCGATACCTCAGAAAAACATCGCCGCGTTCCTCTCCCTCTGTTTACTTTGAGCACTTACATTTGAGCAATTCAATTCTTGTTTTTACATTCTTAGAATTGTCTTGCTAGAGTAGGATTGGAACCTAGTGTGCAAAACTTTTGTGCAGTAGAACAATAAAGAACACTT